TTTTTTCTCTTTCCATCACCCAAGCAAAACCCACATGTACCTTGCCAAATCAGGTGTCCAGGAAAGAAGATGAGCAAACAGAGGAAGAAAAGGTGAGTGAGAGACTAACCTGCTGACACCACTTAGCGAGTACATTGAGTCGAAGCATGCGCTGCTGGGTCTTAGTTATGTACTTGAGTAGACTAATCTTCTTCTCCGTATCAGATTGGTCGGTAGACTTGGATTTCTCTACCAGCTCCTTAAGCGAAAGAAAAGATTCTTCCGCGGCTCGACTCACCAGAGTCGAGAACTCCACCGTCTGCTGCCCTAACTCGGCCATTGACTGAATATTTACCAAAAGATGTCTCCTTTATGGCCTTATTCGGATCTGTAACTACTGATTCATGGAAAAATTAGGGTTTTTCCAGCAATTAGCGAGAGAGAGAGAGATTTGGGGGTTAAAATTTATCTTGGAGCGCCCTCTCTCTCCCCTAAGAAATTCTGTTTGATTTCAGATTTTGGAACGATTAGACGAAGACAGAAAGATAAGAAAAATATTACATCTGAGAGAGAGAGAGAGAGAGACAAAGACAGAGAGAGAGAGAGAAAGTGAGGGAGAAAATGGCCACTTGATTTTGCTGCTATGTGCAATGTATTTAACTAAATTATGCAAATTGTGGGCAACAGTAATTAAGTTGTGTTAAATCTTAATTAACTTACTATATATTTAAATAATAATAAATTGTTTTATAATAATTATATTTTATTTATTGAGATAACTACTGTAACATTTTAACATAGAATTTTAATGTAATTTAAAATTAATAAATATATTTTTTTATTTTTTTCTAATTTAATTTAGAGTAAAAATTGAAGGATGGTGAAATTGAAAAAAATTTGATAAAAATGTGTGAAAATTTGGGTTCTTATGGTATTTTTGAAAAAAAAAATCGGAAACCAGAAGTCAAACTGTAATTTAAGAAAGTTCTATCACGTGGGATGCCTGGTTAGCAGCTCCGACGAATCAGAACGCGCCACGTGCCAGCGAACACTGACGCAATGTCACACGAGGGGGAGAGCTACGCGGGCGATTCGCGTGCCCGCAAATCGAACAGCTTAAATCTGTTCCCGCGAGCACGAACGGCCCAAATGCATTCCCTTCCCAAATGCGATCGGATTGTCATATTTAAATGCGATCCGACGGTTCAGATCAAATTGATGGACAACCCAAATCAAAAGCGGACGGATATAAATAACTCTCATTCGCACCAAATCCTAACCCTAGCCGTCAGACAAGAAGACCCGGCTGCCGGGAAGGAGACTGCTGCCACCCGCCGCTGCACCGGAACCCTTTCCGACCGCCAAAAAAGGTTAAAAAAAAATTTGCTCGGAATTCAATTTTAAATACACCCATGACCAAATCGGAGCAAAAGGATCGGTTGATTGGCCGAAAAACGTGGGCAAAGCCCAGCGCCATCGTCGCAAATAATTTCACAAAACGCCTCCGATGAGACCCTTTTCAATTCTTGTTCTGTGTGATTTTTCCACCGTTGTAATCACCTTTTCCTTCTTTACAGGTTGACCAGAGCAAAATACCCAACCGCAACGTAAGCCGGAGGAGCCGTCGCACCTGAGAGTCTCGCCGCCGGTGAATTTTGATTTTTTGTGTTTTTTCGGCCAACTGAGACCCCTTAATGTGTTTTCTCGCAGGGATCGATGCAGAATCAACCGAATTTGGCCAAAAATGACCGAAAATAGTCGATTCGAGGCGAATAACTGCCGTGCCAGAATTTCAAACTTGGTCAAGTGGGCCATGAGACTGATTTTGGATTTATTTGGGACATTTGTAGGTACTTTTAGCGCATTTTAATTCCCAAAGAAAAATTCATAGAACCCCAAAAATCGCCCGTAGGCGCCGTCGAATAGCTTAACTTTTCGGGTATCAAATCAAGTAAGAATCTCTCATCATATCATCTGTTATGGAGTTGAAGTTTAATTTTAAATAATAAGTTATATTGTAAAACTTATGAAATATTTATAATTAATTACGTGTGACTAATGGAGTCAGAACTGAAAATTATTTTCTGTTGATTTATTTTACAGTTTAAATGCATGATAGTATCTGATTTATCAATTTTATTGTTTGAATGCATGTATTGCTGTCTTACGTGACTATTGTTAAATTGAAAAATTGAGATATGATTGCATTCTCTTATGCATGTTTGTTTGTTTATGTGATTACGGTTGAT